ATCAGAAGTGGATTCAGGGAAGTCCGGGGCAGAGCAGCTTTGCCTTGGGCTTCCTGGTGGTCAGCGCTGGTCAGTTTCGGCAGCGGCTGACTTGGGGACACCTGGGGCAGAGCAGCTGGGGTGCTGCTGGGTTGCTCCAGTAGCGCCGCTCCTCGATATAAGTCGGATCCGCGTAACTCGGGGACTCTCACTTTTTTTAAGCTGCTGCACAGGGATAGGAAATCTATGGCCCTGGGGCTAGATCCAGTCCCCAACTTCCCTGTATTCGGCCCCTGAGGCTCAGGGCTCTCTCTCCCAGCGTCGGGGAGCCCTTAGAACCCCCTCAGGGGCTGGAGTCAGGCAAACTGGGGCCGGATCCAACCCAAAGGCTCTGCCTGGTGAGGGGAGGAAGAGACTCCCTCTCCTTCCCCCCAGTTGGGAAAACAGCAGCACAGAGGGGAGTTTATATAGAGACTGCCACTTCTCCGATTGGCCTTCACTCTACCTCCTACCCATCCCTCTCCTATACCCTATCACCTTCTCAGATCCACCAACCCCCAACCCACTTCTGCACCCTTCCTCATGTCTAGACCCCACTGCCACTTCCCAGCAGTCCCCTCCCATACACCGCTGAACCCTTCATTTCAATTAGGTGGTGTTTTGTTTGCTTGCTTGCTTGCTTGCATCTCATTTTTGTGCAGCCTCCAACTGATTTTTCTGCACGTCAATGGCCCCCAAACCAAAAATGATTCCCCATCTCTACTGCAGCACCACTCACTTTGGGGTAAAAAGTGAAAATTTGAAAGAGGGATATGCCCAGATTCTTAAAGGTATTTAGAAGTATTTATTTGATTGGGAGTTAGGCACCTAAATACCTTTGAGGAATTGTGCCATCACCCTGGGAAGAGTGTCTTTCAGGGAAAACTGGATTTAATTTTGGCCATGTTATAATGCCTTAAATGTTCATACTTTGCACACATACTATAATTTTTCTAATAATACTTTTCTAATAATTATCTTTGCCCTTCCAGTATTTTATGGGAAAACAATAATACATGGGAATCTCCAAGCTCTGCCCCAACTGGCCACAGTTATAGTCTTCAATGCTGGTCCAGTGAGGAAACCCTTTTGGCTGTGCTTAGCGGGTATGCAGGGCCTGAGTAATGTAGAGAGTCATGTGATACACAGGGGAGTTTCACCTTGAATGGGGTACTGGTACATAATGAGTGAGCCTGGGGTACTGTAGATCCTTGACCCAAGCTAACTCACATTCCGAGTCCTGTTATACCATCAGATTTATAAACAAAACACTCAGCGGATGTCTGCTAAAAAAAATAAAACCCCTTATGGTGTGAGATGGCCTTCTGTTTGCAGTTATAATGGTGTAAATCTGGAATAAAATCTCTGAAGTCAAATCAAGTGAAACCCAAAAGGTATATATGAATTTCTGACCTTCCTTTATCCGACATTCCGTGTTATCCGACCTGCCTGTGGCCGCCCAACGCAACTGTGCGGGCGGCAGAGCGGGCAGAGCGGAATGCGGAAGGGAAGGTGCCAGACAGTGCAGAGACAAAGGCAGTGAAAGAAGAGGGAGAAGGGAGCAAGGCCATGCGGCAGGATGCCAGAGATCATCCGCCCCCGCCCTCTGAAGGTCGCAGGGCGCTCTGATCTCACCCATCCCCTCTGGCCAGCCGTGCTGCCTCCAACCTCCCTTATCCCTCCCGGCCAGTCGCGCTACCCCCAACTTCCTTGATCTCCCCCAGCCAGTCATGCTGCCCTCGACCTCCCCCGGCCCGC